TGAAGATATTAGTAATAAGATTATTAATTTACATATTGGAAAATATTATCATTTTTGGTTGAAATCACAGTTATTGTTAAAATTAAATCAGAATAATTTTGGAGGTGATAAAGTTAATATATCAATCAATATTGATGGACTTCCTCTGACGAAAAGTAATAATAGTCAATTTTGGCCTATTTTGAGTAAAATAGATGAATTAGAAAAAGTAGAACCATTTCCAATAGGTATATATCACGGGGAAAGTAACTCTTCTGATTCTAACATGTTTTTATTAAAATTTATTGAAGAAATGAAAATGTTACAAAAAGAAGGTTTAAATTTCAATAATAGAATTGTATAAGTAAATATTAGTTAAATTCTTTGTGATGCTCCTGCGAAATCTTTTGTATTATGTATAAAAAATTTTAATTCGTACCAAAGCTGTACTAAATGTTGGACTGAAGGATTATTTTAAAACAATAGAATGACTTTTCCAGAATAAAATTCAAAATTAAGAAACAAATGATGAATTTTATTCTCTAACTGATGAAAATTATCATAAAGGAAAATCTTTTTTATGTGATTTAAAAATTGATCTTGTTACGTTCGTTCCTTTGGATTATATGCATTTAATATTACTGGGAATTATGAAACGTTTATTGGCCTTTTGAATTAAAGGAAATCAATAAGTTAGTTTATTTAAAGAAGATATTGATATGATTAACGAAAAATTAAAATTAGTTTATGAATCAACTCCTTATGAGTTTTCAAGAAAACCAAGACGAATAACAGAATATGAAAGATGTAAAGCTGTTGAACTGAAAACCTTTTTGCTTTATTATGGTCCATAGCTTATAAAACAATTTTTAAAAGAGCAATACTTTTTTCATTTTCTTTCTTTACATTGTGCAATTCGGATTTTGATTTCTAACGATTTGATAGAAAAAATATATTGATTATGCTAATGAATTATTAATGTATTTTGTAAATGAATTCGGCAATTTATATGGAAATGAATATATTAACCACAATGTTCACAATTTGATTCATTTAACATCAGACGTGAAAAAATTTGATTCTTTGGATAACTTTAGCTGTTTTCCTTTCGAAAATTACATGCATAAAATTAAAATGATGTTAAGAACATCTAATAAACCATTATCTCAATTCATAAAGAGAATTAATGAATTTAATACATATGCTCTACATAAAAAAGAAGAAAAAATTTATTTGAGAGAAAATGGTTTTGCTTTGGTAAACGATAAATTGGTGGAAAGTTTTTCAGCAATACATTATAAAAATTTCAAAATTGAAACTAAAGAACCCAATTGTAATTATTATTAATTTGACAATTGTAGCTGTTAAAATGACTTATTTCGTTTTCTATTATAATTTATTTTTAATTGTATGATTATTCATAAATTAATAAAAAAGAGTTTTATGGTTTATTTTACAAGTTAATTTTTTTGATTGTAGGTTTTGTTCTAAAATATTTTAATATTAATATATTTTTAAGAATTTTTATTGTATATTTCTCGCTTGTAATATTACAATCTAAGAAAGTAGTGAGTAAACAAAATCCTTAATATTATTTTTAATTTTTTTCTGTCAAACATTCATTACCTGTACATTATTGATGTCATTTTTTTGTTTGGTTAATCCTGTACTTTTGTACTTCTGTTTCGTGTTAGAAATAAATACTCGAAACATGTAAAATATGTTTTATTGTTTACAATGAAC